CGTCGCTTGGCGCGTCCCTTGAGACGTTCCGCGGCGCGACCTCCTGGCATGTCCCCTTGTCAATTAGCTCTGGGGCAGCTACTATGTGTTCAGGCAGCTCGAGCTTAAGATCAGATCAGTTCGGTCAGGACTCGGATGCAAAGGAGGACTCGATCCACGACGCTATAGAGCACAACCGCGGCATGGCACATCGCAATTCAGCACGGTGCAGCACAGCACAGCCCTCGGCACGGTACATCAAGATCGATACAATCAGCATTGCAACCTGGCACGTTCCTTGGCACGTTCCGTGGCGCGTCCCGTGGCGAGCCCCCCTGGCACGTCGCGTAGCGCGTCCCCTGGCACATCCCGTGGCACATCCATTGGCCCGTTCCGTAGCGCGTCCTTTTGGCACGTCCCGTGGTGCGACCCCATGGCACGTCCCCTGGCACGTCGCTTGGCGCATCCCTTTGGACGTTTCGCGGCGTGTCCTCCTTGCATGTTCCCCTGTCAATTAGCTCTGGGGCAGCTACTATGTGTTCAGGCAGCTCGAGCTTAAGATCCAGATCAGTTCGGTCAGGACTCGGATGCACAGGATGACTCGATCCACGAGGCTATAGAACAAAATCGCGCCATGGCACATCGCAATTCAGCACGGTGCAGCACAGCACAGCCCTCGGCAGGGTACATCAAGATCGATACCTTCAGAATTGCATTTGCCCGTCACCCAACCAGATGTCTTTGAAAACGCTGCCATGTGTTACAGTTCTATATTCCTTTCCGGGTTCGTGGGTCGATCATGTTCTCCCACGGGCTGTCACAAACGGTCTGGGGCGAGGAGGCACTTCATGGGGAACCGATCGAGACCTCGGGAGGATCGCGCTGCGACAGCTACGGCAGCGGGTTCGGGCCACGGGGCCCGGACGGGTCGCTCCAGCTCGAGGGGAGTGCTGCACGGGGACCGCGGCCGAGGGCTTTGGTCGCGGTGGCTCGCGGTGCTGCATGTGCTTCGGGACACCGGATCGTGGGGCCCCGGCATGCTGCAGAAAGGGCCGCAGCCACGTGGCGTCCTATAGGGGCTGGGAGCGCATATTTCAGGAGGGAAAGAAACACACAGACACAATTCATCCTCGATTCCCAAGAAAATATGGGAAAATATGGGAAGTGGGGGGGAAGACAAGAACCCAGAAAATATGGGAAAATATGGGGAATGATTTTACGTGTGTGTATTTGTTTGTGTGTCCTGGGGCCCCTTCAATATTATGTTCTGACAGCAGCCGCCAGCGGCTCCACCACCACCTCTGCCCCCCCTCTTGGGGAGCGGCGCAGGTGGGCCCAGGAGTGCCCCGAAGGCCCACGGTCCGGCGCAGGAGCTCTGGGGAAGTGCGCTCGGGCCAGTGCAGGGTCGATACCCGATCGTGATCGTCCAGCCAGGCGAAGGACGATCAAGATTGAATGGGGAGCAGGAAGAGGGGGAGGACCAGACTCTGCATGTGTGGCGTCCCATAGGGGGATCAGCCGAGAGATAAGGAGGAGGAAGAGGAGGAGGAGGATCCGCCAATTCTAGTTGCGCCAGCCCTTCCTCGGACTTGGATCAGGCTGTGAGCCCTCATTGTCTGGGCCGTTGGTCTCTGTACGCCAGTCCGGGGCCCAGGACATCCCGGAGTTATTTCCAGTGAATCCTCCTCCTCCTCTTCCTCCTCCTCCTCCTCCTCTTCCTCCTCCTGCTCCTGCTCCTGCTCCTGCTGCTCCTCTGCGGGGGGGAGTTGATCCTGTTGGCGTGTCGTTGTCGCCATGAAGGACACGGGCCCTGAGTAAAACAGATCTTGCATTTCTGTCACCGCTTGTGATGCTCCTGGGGCCCTCGCAAGGCATCGGGAGTGTCCGTAATCGACTCACGATGGGAAAAACGGGTCCAGTGGGAACGCCTGGGGTCCAGGACCCGTTTCCCTCAGGACTCGTTCATTGTGTGCCAAAGTCTGTGAATGCTATCGAAGACGCCTACGGCGAATCACCGCCCCCCTTGCCTTCTAGAATCGCCCATGTGGCCTAGCGTTGTGGCAAGAGCTTTGCCAAGCTATCGGACCATGTGTTCCCCCAGCCGTTGTGGAAACCCTTCGGGGAACACTTGGGGGAGGATGGCGGGGAAGATCAGGAGGAGGAGGTGGAGCAGGAGGAGGAGGAGGGGGCATCTTGGGAGCCTCTGGGGACACTCTTGAAGTATCCTGGGAACTTCCTGGGAGCCTCTTGGAGGCATCTTGGGGGCCCTCTTGGAGGCCTCTTAGTTGCCTTCGGGGGCTTCTTGGGGGCCTCTTTGGCCGTCTTGGTGGGCTCCTGGCCTGTCTGATGCCGTCGGAAGCAGTCTTGGGGGCCTCTCTGGGCCGACTTGGGGCCCTCTTGGAATGCTCCAGGGCCGTCTTGGAAGCTTTCTTGGGCGTCGCAGAGGCCTCCTCGGCCGTCTTTGGGCCCTCTTGGGGCCGTCTTGGGGGCATCTTGGGGCCGTCTTGGGGGCCTCTTGGGCCGTTCTGGGGCCATCTTGGAAACCTCTTCGGCGATCTTGGGGCGATCTTTGGGGGCTCTTGGGCCGTCCCGGGCCGTCGGTAGGCCGAAAAGGAGCAAATGCGAAAATCCCTCAGATACCTAAGGCAAATCAGTGGTTTGGGCATCTTTTGGGCCTTCCTGGAGGCCTCTTGGGCCATCTTAGGGCCATCTTCGGCCTTCTCGGTGGGCTCCTAGCCCGTCTGATGCTGTCAGAAGCAGTCTTGGGGGCTTGTCTGGGTCGACTTGGGGCCCTCTTGGAATGCTCCAGGGCCGTCTTGGAAGCTTTCTTGGGCGTCTTAGAGGCCTCTTGGGCCGTCTTTGGGCCCTCTTGGGGCCGTCTTGGAGGCCTCTTGGAGGCCTCTTGGAGGCCTCTTGGGCCGTTCTGGAGCCATTTTGGAAGCCTCTTCGGCGATCTTTGGGCGATCTTTGGGGGTTATTGGGCCGTCTCGGGCCGTCGGAAGGCCGAAAGGAAGCAAATGCCAAAATCCTTCAGAAACTTGATGCGAATCAGTGAGTTTGGCCTCGTCGGGCATTCCTGGAGGCCCTCTTGGAGGCCTCTGAGGCCGTCTTGGGCCATCTTAGGGCCATCGTCGGCCGTCTCGGTGGGCTCCTGGCCCGTCGAATGCCGTCGGAAGCAGTTTGGGGGGCTTGTCTGGGCCGACTTGGGGCCCTCTTGGGGTGCTCCAGGGCCGTCTGAGAAGCTTCCTTGGGCGTCTTAGAGGCCTCTTGGGCCGTCTTTGGGCCCTCTTGAGGCCGTCTTGGAGGCCTCTTGGAGGCCTCTTGCGCCGTTCTGGGGCCATTTTGGAAGCCTCTTCGGCGATCTTTGGGCGATCTTTGGGGGCTATTGGGCCGTCTCGGGCCGTCGGAAGGCCGAAAAGAAGCAAATGCCAAAATCCTTCAGAAACTTGATGCGAATCAGTGAGTTTGGCCTCGTCGGGCATTCCTGGAGGCCCTCTTGGAGGCCTCTGAGGCCGTCTTGGGTCATCTTAGGGCCATCGTCGGCCGTCTCGGTGGGCTCCTGGCCCGTCGAATGCCGTCGGAAGCAGTCTTGGGGGCTTGTCTGGGCCGACTTGGGACCCCTCTTGGGGTGCTCCAGGGCCGTCTGAGAAGCTTCCTTGGGCGTCTTAGAGGTCTGTTGGGCCGCCTTTGGGCCCTCTTGGGGCCGTCTCGGGGGCCTCTTGGGCAGTCCTGAGGCCATCTCGGAGGGCTATTGAGCGATCCTGGGGCGATCTTGGGGGCCGCTTGGACCGTCTTGGGCCGTCGAAAGCCGAAAAGGAGCAAATACGAGAATCCTTCAAAAACCTTAGGCAAATGAGTGAGGTTGGCCTCTTCGGGCCCTCCTGGACCTCTCGGAGGCCTCTTGGGCCGTCTTGAATGCTTCTTGGAGGCCTCTGAGGCCGTCTTGGGATTTCTTGAGGCCGTCTAGAGCCGTCTGGTGTCCATTTTGGGCCGTTTTGGAGCCATCTTGGAGCCATCTTAGCCGTCTTGGAGGCCATCTTGGAGCCATCTTAGCCGTCTTGGAGGCGACGGGCAACCACCTGGGTATTTTGAGCACCCTTCCGGGTCCTTCCGGGTGGCCGGCGGGACGGGCCGAAGCCCCAGGGGAGATGTCTTTGGGAAAAAAAACCAAAACCAAAACCGAAAGGGTTTAGCACGCCGGATATCGAATGACCTTCGGCCCATCCCGCCACCGTGCCTGGTTTGTGGGTCAGAGTTCTGAGGGATGCTTCTTGGGGTCTCTTCGGAGCACTCTCGGGAGCCTCCTGGTGGCAGCTTGGGGGCCTCGCGGAAGCCTCTTGGGGGCCTCTTGGGTGGGGGCCCGTGGGGCCTCTTGGGGGCCTCTTGGGGGCCTCTTGGGGCCCCTCTGGAACCTCCCGGGGGCCCCTCGGGCCGAGGGCTCGGAGTGGCCGCTCGGGTTCCCCATCTGGGCCCCCTCTTGGTGCCGTCTTTGTCAGGAGGGGAAAAAACACACAGACACATTTAATCGTCGATTCCCCGGAAAATATGGGAAAATATGGGAAGTGGGGGGGAAGACAGAAACCCAGAAAATATACGAAAATATTAGGAATATGTTTAATTGTGTGTATTTATTTGTGTGTTCTGGGGGGGCATCTTGGGCGCCTCTTGGGGCGTCTTGGGGGGCGTTTTGGGGCGAGGACGCCAAATTCCTTCAGATGCCGATGGGAAATCAGTGATCTGTTCCTCCGGGGGCCCTCTCGGGAGGCCTCTTGGGGCGTTTGGGGCCGTATTGAGGCCATGTCTTGTGTCTAAGAGCGATCTTTAAGCGTCTCGAGGCCCTCTTCGACCATCTTGGGGGTCTCTTGGGGCTCTCTAGGCCCGTCTTGGGGTCCTCATGGGCCCCGCGCCAGGTCTCCAACGCGACGGGGCAAGCCCCGTGGATTTGGCCATTCGGGGAAAGACACCCCCCAGGAGTGAGGAGTGAGGACTGAGGCTTCCAGACTGAGGCGTAAGCGATTAGGCAAAGGACCTGGGACACACCCGTTCCGTGCCCAGAGGCACGGTGGCAGATTCGTATGCGAGCTTCTCAGGCAAAGCCGACACATGTTAGATATCTTGAAGCCACAGACCTGGATTGGGTTTCCTCCTGAACATATTGTCTTAAGTCTCATCATCCGTTGCTATGTTTGCCCAAGTCTTGATTACGATTAACGTCGTTGCCTCAGAGCCCGCGGTGTCGAGCTTTGAAATAACGATGCACCCGATGCATGCAGAGATGCATACGTTCAAACAGCCAATTTCGCGTGAAGAAAGCGTTAGAGCAAGGAAGGCCATCGAGCGGTGTGGGCGCACGACGCAATGGAGCAGTGCGATCTCACTGTTTCGAGCCCTCCGGGACGTGAACGACATCCTGTACAATGTGATGATTAGCGTGTGTGGAAAGAGCCAGCAGTGGCAGCAGGCACTGTCTCTGCTCCACGAGATGTCTTCGGCGACGGTAGTTCCAGACGTGATATGTAATGGAGGATGACGATGAATAAATGACCGGGGGTCGTGTTCACGCGGCGGCGCCCGGGATGACGATTAGAAAAAACCGGCCGCGGGCTGGAAAACTATTTCTTTTCATCGTTCTCCTCCAGTCAGAAATTTTGCAGAAATAGCAGGAAACTATTTTATTAATCGTTCCCCCCCATTTTTTAAATTAATCGTCATCCCGCAGTACTACCTTGCAGAGCCCCGCGCGTGCGGCACCCGCGCTGCCTGCCTGGGCCCCCCGGCGCCCGGCGGGTCCCCAGAGGCCCTCCGAGGCCCCCAGGACGCTCCTCAGGCGCTCGTGTCGCGCCGCCCGTGGCGGCCAACGGGGGCCCCAAGAGGCCCATCGGCAGCGCGTCCAGGAGGGAGGAGTGAAGGTCCTCCTCCTCCTCCTCCTCCTCCTCCACGATCAGGTGCCCGTTCGTGCCGTTTTCGTGGAGGGTGTCCACGGGTCAGCGCTCGTCGGTGGCATCGCCGCGATCAGCGCAGGCAGTGGCAGAGGCCATTGCCCGTGCCGAGAGGGCCCCGCTGCACGAGAACGTGCCCAGACCTGCTCGCCTGTGGACTGCAGCCAGCGTGCGCGAGCATGGCGGGCACAGGAAGCCGGTGCGCTCGTTGACAAGGGAGGCGTGCTGCTTGATTGCAGTGGAATAGCGAAGTCCGTTGTTGCATGTCCGGCCCGTGCACGTGTCATGTGGACAGTCGGCGAAGGCGGCAAATTTCGCGATCCCGCGGAGCAGCACCCCCGTGGTGGTCTAGATTGGTCCACTTGCAGGGTCCCTCTGACAGCAACGGTTGGTTTCAGAAAGGCTCTGGGGACGCTCCACGGAGCCCAAACGCGGTCCCCGAGGGCCGCCAGAATGCCGAAGGTCCTCCAGAGGTCCCCGCAAGGTTGCCGCTGGGGCAGAACCAGTATCACGCAGCGCCAAGCAGCGGCGCCAAGCAGCGGCAAGCGGTAGCGGGTGGGCGAGCAACCAATGAGGCAAACACCAGCATGCCTACATGCCAGCATGTAAGCAGGTAGACAGGGTATAACGGTGTCAGACCAGTCATGTGATCGTGTTTTGATTCATTGTTTTGCCAATCGGTGCGGGCCATCGCCCCCCCCCTTCCCCCCCCTCGTGGAGTAGATCTTGGCTTTTGGGGGCGCCTGTTTCAGGCAGGTGGAATCTCCCCCATAGGACGCACTGCTGCAAACAGTCGCATTCAGCTGAAGTCTGGAGCCAGACCCCCACCCTTTCCCCCCCATCTTTCGCTCAATGTCGAGACGCCGAATGAGAAAACGCTCACCATGCAATCACGGCAGCGCGCAAGCAGACAGACAGGCAAACGATCCTCGCCCTCGAGTGCGTTTGAGCCTGAGTGTGGACATACGTCCACGCGCCGGCCCTAGTCAGTTACAGCGCTGGGATCAGCGCGTGCGAGAAGTGCGAACAGTGGCAGCAGGCCGTGTCGTTGCTCGGGGAGATGTCGGAGGTAATGGTGGAGCCCGACGTCATCGTCTACAGCGCTGGCATCAGCGCGTGCGCGAAAGGGGGGCAGTGGCAGTTGTCGTTGGCGCTGTTCGGAGAGATGTTGGAGGTAACACTGGAGCCCAATCTAGTCAGCTATAACGCTGGCATCGGCGCATGCGCGAAAGGTGAGCAGTGGCAGAGGGCGTTGGCACTGATGAAGAATATGCGCGAGGCGATAATAGAGCCCGATGTAATCAGCTACTGCGCCAGTGCCAGCGCGTGCGAGAGCGGTGAGCAGTGGCAGCGTGCTCTGTCGCTGCTCAGCGAAATCGCGGAGGTGAAGTTCGAGCGTAGCGCCATCAGCTACAACACCGTGATAAGCGCATGCGCGAAGTGCAGCCAGTGGCAGCGGTCTCTGTCCTTGCTCGGCGAGATGTCGGAGGTAGCATTGGAGCTCGGCGTCATCACATCTACATCACTGCGCGTCGCGCCTCCATAGAGGTCCCTAATCTAGGTCGCCCGCGAGGGCGCGAAGATCGGCGCGCTTCGCGCGTCGCGGCCTGCGCAAGAGCGGTGGCCATTTTCCAAGGGGGCCGCGCGAGGGTCCGAAGGTAACCTCGCGTCGCCCATCGCGGGGCGCGATGCGCGAAGTTTGGTGGCCTGGCAGCGCCGCCCTCGATTCCATCCGGCTCGACCCGCTTCGGCGACTCGAATCGCCGCGTTTGCCGACTCGACAGCGGGAAGCTCCCCGCCACGATTCGATCACGATTGCGGTTTGGGCTCCGAGCGATTCGAGTCCAGTCCGGCGCGAGGTGGGCGACGCTCTGGTGCGAGGCTGGCTCACCTGGCCTTAAGTCGGGCCTGTCCCTCTACAGGAGGGATGTTCAAAAATTGTCAAAAATTAGTCTGGGGACTATTTTTTGAATATTTTTGACCATTTGGGAACTTTTTGTGTATTTATTTTTCGTCGAAAATCCCCTTGTAGGGGGACAGGCCCGACTTAAACCCAGCCCCGGGCGGTGCCGCCTCGGCGCGCGCTCGGGGGCGGCGCCGCGCGGGGCGCCCTGAGAGGCCTCACCCCGGGCTGGCGGCAGGGCCGCCGCCGTCGTCGTCGTCGTCGTCGTCGTCGTCGTCGTCCGGGATCTGCGCCCGAGAGCCACACGCTCAGGGGCGCAGCGCTGGGGGGGAGGAGAGGCCGAGGGGGGGCGCAGCGGCTCCCAATCGCCCAGTCGTCGCCGATAAGAGCATGGGCTCAAGGGAAGAAAGACCACCCCTCCTCCTCCTCCTTCTCCTCCTCCTCCTCCTCCTCCTCCTCCTCCTCCTCCTCTTCTCCTCTCCTCCTCCTCCTCCTCCTCCTCCTCCTCCTCCTCCTCCTCCAAGGCGTTGTGGTCCGAGGCGCCCCATTTTGGGCTAGCGGCCCGACAGACCACGACCCCAGCCCCGCGGGGCGGCTTCTTTCCTCTTGCCCAAGGAGCGGGCACGACGGCCGCCATCGCAGGGCGGTCCCGCTCACCGGTGTGGCACCGCAGGGCGCGGCGCCAGCGGGCGGCCTCCAGGGCACGGCTGCAGCGCGAGAGGGACATCGTACGGTTGCAGGACCACCACGGCAGTGCACCTCCCAGGATGCCTGGCAAGCAGCAGCGAGGTTCAGTTTCGCCGTGGTCCACCTGCAAGAGCTGCGGCGCGCACGAGTGGAACGGGGTCCTGCAGAAGCAGGCCTGCAAGTGCAGCCGCTGCGGAGTGAAGGTCGACCTCTACACCGCTAAGGGGAGCAATTCCAAGGAGGGCAAGGCGGGCAAGGTTCCTGTCGTTGGAAAGGGACCCAGCGACTCAGTCTCGGCAGAGGACAAGGCCATCTTGACCCTGGAGGCTGCTCTCAGGTGCACTGAGGACCCCGCACTCCGCAGGATGATCCAGTCGCAGATGGACGACCTCAGGCACAAGCGGGCTCAGCAGTCCGCTGTGCCTCCAGAGGACGCACTGCGGCTGGCAGACGGCGCCGTCCGCGACGCCTCCGCCAAGCACGACCAGGCCATGGCGCGACTTCTCAAGTGTCGAGATGCCTTGGAGGAGGCGCAGGAGAAGGAGCGCCTGGCCGCACTCGTTCTCGCCCAAGCCGAGGACACGAAGAAGCTCGCTGCGCAAGCCCTCGCCGCCAAGCTGGGCGTCACTGTCCAGGAGGGTGAAGGCTGCGCCGAGAGCAAGACCCTTTTTCAGATTACATGGGACGAGGATTTCTTCCGCAATCTAGACAGCATGGAGGCCGAGCAGTCTGAAGTTCAGGAGCTTCGCAAGTTGGAGTCCGACCTCACAGCAGTGAAGGACCAGCTTGCTACCAAGAACACGCAGGTGGGCGACTGGTTGCAGCGGGCCAAGGAGCTCCAGAGCCAGCTCACCGACAGGATGGCCAAGAAGCGCAAGGGCGACAGTGGCACCTCAACAGTCGGTGCAGCAGGTGGTGGTGCGCAGGCGGCTGCAGCTGCTGGCGCTCCACCCACCGCCACCGCGGCAGCGGGCACGGCTGCAGGCAGCGCGGCGGCGGCCGCCCCCCCAGCCGCCGCCCCCGCCGCGGCCGACCCCGAGGCAGCCAGAGTCGCTCGGGAGGCGCGCGAGGCCCGCATCCAGCAGGCCGCGGCCAAGATCAGCGCTTCCAAGGCTGCCGCCATGCAGGCGTCCGAGGCGGCCAAGAAGGAGGCGGCTGGCGGCGCAGGGGCGGCGGCCGCTGGTGGCGGCAAGTGACGAATGGGCAGGAGCGGCGGCGCGGGTGTGCAGGCAGCCACGCCGACGACCGCTCGGGGAGAGTCTGCGTTGCAGACTGACCTGCCTTGGGGGACTGAGGTCGCCACGACCTCCAAGAGCCAGAGTGACACATTCATATTTTTCTCTAATGTCACTGCCATGGGGAAGCAGGCCTGGGACTACGTGACTGGGCCCGCTTCGACTCCGTATCACTACTTCCTGCTAGTTGAGACTCACATCGAGTCCGCCAGCGACTTGCAGCATTGGAAGGGCCAGGCACGCAAGTCGCATCTCAAGTTGATAGACAATCCAGCTCGCGGGACGGGCCGCGAGCAGTCGGAGGCCACCAAGGACAGGGCCAACGAGGGCGGCGAGTGGATCCTTGGGAGGCAGCATTTACAGTTCCACAGGGTCCATGACACCGACTCCGTGTGCCGCGACCTCAAGGCCGAAGGCAGCGCCGCCCTGGATGGGTTCACGGTGGCGATCCTCAACCAGCAAGGGTATTCCATCGTGCTGGTCGCCTTCTACGGCTACTGCTCCGAGGGCCTCCACGGCAGGAACTTGGTGCGTTTCGCCAAGCTGGGGGCCCTCGTCTCTCAGTTGAAGCTGCCGTGGATTTGCATAGGCGACTTCAACCTCCCACCGTCTGTCCTGGCCGACGCTGGATTTTTGGATCGTGTGGGTGCCAATGTCCTCACTGATGCCGACACGGAGTACACCTGCGTGGGCGGCATGGGCAAGGGCAGCACGCTGGACTATGTCATGGCCAGTTATTCGGCGTTACCGTATATCGTGGGTTTGAGTGCAGTTTTGTCAGTGCCTTGGCGACCGCACTGCGGGCTTCAACTTCGGCTGAGAAGTTCGGGGTCTCAACTGTTGTGTCGGCAGCTGGTGCTTGCAGCTCAACTCCCACAAGTACCTAGACCTACCACCCAGCCGCAAGAGGGTTCCAAGTCGTCTTTGGCCCGAGGGGAGCGCATCCTGGCACGACGGGCGGCTCAGGACAGGATGGCGACGGCGACGGATGAGATGTTCGGAGACCTTTGCTCTGCTGGAGGTGCGACGGCGTCTACATCGGCGACGACTTCTTCCTCTGAGGGCGAGCCTAGTGCACAGGCCAGTCCTTTTGCCCCCGACTGGCACGAGTCGGACGGTGAGGACGACTACGTGCCCTCAGGTTTCTTTGGACCCGAGGCTGGCAGCCCAGCGGCTGCCGTGCCTCTAGCCTCGCCCAGGCCTGAAGAGGCCGAGGTCGCGGCTCCGTCTCACGACATATCGAGTGTGCTTACCGCACCCCACGAGTCTCGGGACCCACCCAGTTGTTCTGCCTCCCCCGAGGTCCCCTCGGGCACCCCTGGCGGTGCCCTGCCTGCCTTTTTCCTCCCCTCTGACCTCTGGGACTCCTGCAGGGCACAAGTGGGCTACACGGACTCCGCTGGCGCCTCGGATGTTCTTCCTGCCATTGCCAACTCTGCTGCGTTTGCGGTTGGGGGACCACATATTCTACGTCTGGGAGCTCTTTATGGATCTTGGGTCAAAGCTTTGGAGCGTACCGTCTGTATTCACCATGGGACGAATCTAGCGGGGCCTTCCAGGGACTCAGGGCCTAAGTACACTGTCACCGAGGTTAAAGCTCCATCTAAGGTTCGGGAACAGCCTCTTCATGATAAGGTGTCGTCTTGGTGGGGCAGGGCCGCCACAGTACTGACCAAGCTCAGCTTGCATCGTTCTCGTGGCAACGGACCCATACAGCAGCAGCAGCTCGCGGAGGCGTGCGCGGCCTTGGCAGGGGACCAGCCAGACAGCGTACACGCGCCTCTCGCCTCGCTTGCCGACCCGACCGTGGCCTCGTGGAGCGAGTGGCAAGCTCGGCTACTAACTGTCACCGACTTGCCTGATGCCAGCCTGCACGAGATGGCCGTCACGGCCAAGCGCATCACAGGTCGAGCTCGTCGGCGGGCTTTGGGGGCGTCTCTTAAGGAGCTTAGTGCTTGGATTTCGACCTCGGAGGCTCCTGGGATCCTCCACAAGGCTCTTAAAAAGACCCCTCCTGTCCCCGATGAGCTCGTAGTCGACGGCCAGGTTATGTATCACCCCCTGGACATCGTTGATAGCAAAGCCAGTACGTGGAAACAGCTCTGGGGCCCAAGGGAACCCGATCTACGCGATGTCCAGGAGGTATTCCACGAAATTCGCGAAGTTGCTCGGCACGAACGCCTCGAGCCACTTTCCCACGACAGAGTCCGTCAAGCGCTACATTCCATGCGAGCTAAGACAGGACTCGGGGTAGACAAACTCACCCCGTTGGATATGGAACGTTTGCCTTTTGCTGGAGTTTCGGAGCCCGCTGGGCTTTACAATGCCTGCGAGGAATGCCTCTCCTGGCCCTGGCAGGTCCTCCTGGTCGCGGGGAAGCTTTTAGGGAAAAAATCGGGTTCGGACCGCGTTATTGGTCTCATGTCTATGTTTACCAGGACTTGGTCCCGTGCTCGGGAGGACGACGTCCGTTCTTGGTCTCAGGACTCCGAGTCAGCGTGGGGCGCCGCAGCGGCGGGGAACTCGGCGCACCGCGAGGCCTTCGTCCGCGCTTTGAAGGACGAGGCCATGCACAACTTGGGGATCGTTTTCGGGGAGGGCCTCGTAGACATCAAGGGGTTCTACGATGAGATGCAGTGGGGTCCTCTGGCTCGGGCCGCTCTCAGGCTTGGGTTCCCTCCT